CCTCCTCCTCCTCCTCCTCCTCCTCCTCCTCCTCCTCCTCCTCCTCCCAAAGCAAACAAGTGAGTCTCCATCCCCAGGAACGGGGCATTTGAAGGAATAGCATCTGCCTTCCCTCCCTGCCCCCACCCCCAGTACCTTGCAAAGCCAGCCATATGCCAATAGCTTTTCTGGATTTGAAAGACTCATTTCAATTATGTTAATTTTTAAAAACTGTGATAATGGCATTGTGGTTCTACTTAAACAACAATAACAAAAAAAAATGAGTACTTATCTCTCAGAGATACCCAGGAAAGTATTTACAGATAAAATCATGTCTGGCATCGCCTTTAGACTAATCCAGCAGAGAAGGAGGGCCTGACAGATCAAACAAGATTGGTCTCACTTTGCATATGCTGATCACCACTAAAGCTGGGGAAGACACATGGGATCGCCACACGCAAGCCACTCTACTTTTGTCTACATTTAGTTTCTGTTGTTTTTATTTTTAATGAAAGTACACATACACACACACACACACACACACACCTCACTACTGAATCACAGAGCAGAAAAGCAGCTCCTAAAAGACCCTTGGGGTCCTGAGGTCTTTGTATCAAAAAATTCTGGGCATGGTCCCTTTTTAGCACTTAAGTGGACACTCCCAGCCCACCCAACCCAGAAGCCAGGCAGCTAGAGAGGAACCAGGAAGCCTTGGGTGCGAATCCTAGTACTGCCCCTAGATAGCTGCCAGCTAAGCCTTTTATTTCTCCTCTGTCAAGTGCCGATAACACCTACCTCTCAAGGTCAGACCATGAGACTGCTTAGAGATGAGTTATGCAAAATACTCAGCATGAGCCTGGTGCATAGCAAGCCCTGGAGAAATGTCTGTGGCATCATCGCTATAATGCCATTACTATCAGTGGTCAGCTCTCAGTTACAGTGCGCCCGGCGCACTGCTGTGGGTACCTGGAGCAACGGAGAAGGCACCTTCTCCATTTCTACTCTGCAGTCCTTGTGGCATCTGAGAAGATACTCACTTCCCTCCCAACTTCCAGACCCCACCGCCTCAGGTCATTCTCCTCTGGACACACCACAGGGACTCTTAGAATCTAAGTGGCATTCCTAGAAGGAGCAGCTGTGTGCCAAGAACAGGTGTCCACCCTGGTTGTACCCTGAAAGGCCACCCCAGGGCATCATTTGTCATGAGTTCACCAAAGGCCAGATGGGAAGCCAGGTGCCCACAGGTGGCTCACAAAGAATGTCTGAAAGGCCACAGATCTTGTCACTGGGAGAGGGAGGAGATGGTGTGGGGCGCTGTCTGGTCCAGCTGCCCTGGCTCCCTCCTCCCGCCCCAGCCGGGGCTTCCTTTCCAGGGGGAGTTCTCCAGCGAGGTCTCCCCGGCTGGGTTTTTCTCCCGATCTGAATGCAATCAGGGATGTGGCTGCTCTCATCCCATCACTCCAGCCGCGGGAGGATCATCACGCCGAATCTTGAGCCTGTCATCCGTGGCATTAGCTGTCCCTGACAGCTCCGTGTCAGCTGCATGTCTGACGAGCACATCTTCCGAGTCTTCCGCCAATTTACAGATAGAAATGTTGAACGGCAGAGAGTCCGGGGCAAGGCCGTGGGGACACTGCTGGAGACCCTCCTCCCAGCCTGACGGTAATCCTGGATCAACACTTCCGGGGGAATAAATCAATCCAATACTATCATCCCTGCTCCACTCCTCCATGAGAAGAGCCTTTATCAAGAAGCCCTGCTGCAATCAAGATTTGCCAGAGAGTTAGAAGTCCCTGGTCCCAGGGCCTCCCCAACCTTGCGCCCTCCACACCCAAGAAAATAAGATTTGCTTGTTCTTATTTGTTCTGGAAAACTGCATGCCCCACAGAGTGAGGACATTCTCAGAACACAGATCAAACCGTTCCCCTGCTTAAAACCCTCTTGTGGGTTCTCATTGCACACAGGATAAAATTCACCCTCCTTTCTGATCTCTAGGACACTACTCAGACTGGCCCCATCTCCCCCTTCTTCCAGCCACCTGGGTCTTTTATCTCTTCCTTGAAATGCCAAGTTCAATCCAGCCCCAGGGACTTTGCACTTCTTTTGGAATGCCTCACCCCCATTCTCCCTGAACTGGCTCCTCTTCTTTATTCAGGCCTGGGTTCAAGCATCATGTTCTCAAAGTGGCCTTTCCTACCCATTTTTTAAAAAGCCCCTTCACCACTTACTAGGCTCTCGCTAGGCATCAACTTGCTTATTTTCTCCACAGTGTCTATCACTGTCATATAGTATTATTTTTACGTCTACACTCTACATAATTAAATGCATTCCTCAAGGGCAGTTCACCATGCAGGCCTCTGAGCCTAGAACAGAGCCTGACACAAATCTCCAGCTCCGTAAGTACTTTTGAATGATCGAATGAATGAACAGGCTCACTTACATTTACCCTTGCTGGCCCCTCAGATCTCTTTAATTCCCTGGTGCACACACCTGTTCCTTTCTCAGGCCAGAGGGCCCCGGCTTTCTCTACTGGTTTAGTTTTGGATCCTTTTTCTGCCCTTCTATCCCCTGTTCCACCTCTGGCCTGGCATCCCATGAGCTGATCAGATGACCCTGCTTGGCCCTCCCAACCTTTTCAAAAGCAGTCCCCTGTGCAACTGGCAGAGACTCAGAGCAATCACTTGGGGGCTCACGGGACCATTTTGCACAGCGTGCATGACTTTGCTGAGTTTGATGTTAAACCTTCATTTTCTGAAATCTATCTTTAAAAAGATTTTATTTTTTTTCCTGAGAAGTTTTGCTGGTCCTGGCACCTCTCCTGTGCTGTTTGCTTTCTCCTTCAGATTGGTTAAAAAAAAAAAAATCTATCAGACTCTATCCAGTGAATCATTCAGGGAGAGCAATCCAGCTCCTGGGCTCTTGACAAAGGAAGCTAGTTAGAATCTGTGCTGGGGCTCCAGGGCTTCAGCTCCACGCTGCCACCTCTGCTTCGCCCACCTCCAGAAATGATAGGTGTCTGATCGTGGCTCTGTACTCAAATGCTGTGCATTATTCCTGCATTTGCAGTGTGCAGAGTTGTATAAAAATAAAGGCTATTGACTGGCTGGCACCCCTTCCCAGAATAATGACTAAGCAAGCGTGCTGTTAGCTCCCTCAGCAACAGTTCTGTGTACATGATAACACAGAGCAAAGACGAAAACTGCTATTCATCCGAGCCAAACAACAGAAAATGCAAGCAG